GGGAAAAGATCTTTACCAATACTACATCTGATAGAGGGCTAATATCCAAAATATACAAAGAACTCAAGAAGTTAAGACTTCAGACAACCAAATAACCCTATCAAAAATGGGAAACAGAGCTAAACAAAGAATTCTCAACTGAGGAATCTCGAATGGCTGAGAAGCACTTAAAGAAATGTTCAACATTCTTAGTCATTAGGGAAATACAAATCAAAATAATCCTGAGGTTTCACTTCAACCAATCAGAATGGCTAAAATAAAAAACTCAGGTGATAGCAGATGCTGGAGAGAATGTGTAGAAAGTGGAACACTCCTCCATTGCTGGTGGGATTGCAATCTCGTACAACCACTTTGTAAATCAATCTGGCAGTTGCTCAGAAAGTTGGAAATATCTCTACATGAAGACTCAGCTATATCACTACTGGGTGTATACTCAAAACATGCTCCAACATATAACAAGGATATATGCTCCACTATGTTCATAGAAGCCTTATTTATAATAGCCAGAAGTAGAAACAACCCAGATGTCCCTCAACAGAAAAATGGATACAGAAAATGTGGTACATTTACACAATGGATTATTACTCAGCTATTAAAAACAATGACTTCATGAAATTCACAGGCAAATGGATGGAACTAGAAAATATCATCCTAAGTGAGATAATCCAGACACAGAAGAACACACATGGTATGTACTCACTGATAAGTGAATATTAGCTCAAAAGCTCAGAATACCCACAATACAACCCACAAACCATATGGAGCTTAAGAAGGAAGACCAAAGTGTGGATGCTTCAGTCCTACTTAGAAGTGGGAACAAAATAATCACAGGAAGTAGAGGAGGGAGGAACGTGGGAGAGAGAGAGGAAGGGGAAAAAAGGGGAGGGGGAAAGGCAGGATCATGTATTGGAAGGAACAGGAGAGAAATACAGAGGGTCAGGAAATCGAATAGAAATATGTAGCAGTGGGGGATGGGGAACTGGGGGGGAGCCACTGGAAAGTCCCAGATTCTAGGGAAGCAAGAAGGCTCCCAGGACCCAAAGGGGATGGCTTTAGCCAAAATAAGCAACAAAAGGGAGATAGAACCTGTAGAGACCACCTCCAGTAGATAGTATGATCTACAGTTGAGGGATGGAACTGCCCACCCATCTCAAAATTGTTAACCCAGAAATATTCCTGTCCAAAGGAAAGATAGGGACAAAAACTGGACCAGAGACGAGATGGAAGGAAAGGTCATCCATAGACACACCCCCCACACCTAGGAATCCATCCTATCTGCAGACACCAAACCCCAACACTATTGCTGATGCCAAGAAGCACTTGCTGATAGGAGAGCCTGGTATGGCTGTTCCCTGAGAGAGTCTACCAGCACCTGACTGAGACAGATGCAGATACTCACAGCCAACCATCGGACTAAGCCCGGTACTATAAGTCTTTATTCTGATGGCAATTGTGTTATGTGACTTTGACTGATCAAAGAAGTGATTTTTACCTGAATTGAGCACAGTGAACCAGTGGGCTTATTGGAGTTACTTATCGGAACATGGGCAAAGGGTTACTTAACAGGAACATGAATGCCTGGAAGGCAGACACATCACAGACAAGCCCATCTCAGCATGGGTAAAAGCTCATGAATCTGGATTGGGTGGGAAAGTCTACTCTCCCAGAAGCAGTTACTCTCTATACAACCTCAGGGAGAGGTGAGTGGGTACTGTTAGTTTCAGGAGATTCTTGAGACTTGTGAGTTTGCATTCCTTCTGACCACAACCAAATGTTTATTTCAGAGGAAACAGCTGCCCAGTTAAAAAGCTGAACTTCTATGTAAATAGAAGGCTGAAAGGTGCTTACCAGAGACTGGGTATAGGAAGAAAATACTGAGGAGCTGTTGGAAGTAGGATATAAATTTCACATTGGGAATAGGAGTAGGTTAGAAGTAACCCATAGAGAATTACATTTCAAAGTACTATGATGAATTTCACATGTCTCATCATAACAAATGGGAAGATAAATGAGGTAATGGGTACTAACTGGCTAACTTAAACACTCTGCTTTGTACACAGACATCAAAGAACGTATTCTACTTCTCCAAAGTATGTTAGGATGCTGGTTAAAAACACTATTAACAAGCAATAGACCAAGGATGTTATCAAGAAAGTGGAAACACCATTTTCAAGTGCTAAAAAATGTTGTGTATTGTAAATCTGAACATGGGCCAAAATATACAAAGAATTCTCACAATTCAACAGTAGTCACGATAAAAACCACAAACAGCCCAATTCAAAAAGAAAGACCTGGCATTAAAAGAAAAAAAAATGCTTTGGAGTAGTGGCAAACATGTTTAATCTTAGCACTAGAGAGGCAGAGGCAGGTGGATCCCTGTGAGTTTGACCAGCCTGGGCTACAGAATGAGTTCTAGGGTAGCCAAGGTTACATAGAAAAACCCTGTCTTGGGGGGGAAAAGACACAGCTGAGTGAAGAACGGCAGATATAAAGCATTGTTCATGTGTTACTCTGCTATGTGAAAGGCCTGGGATAGTTGGTTGCATCATAGAATGGGAGTTACAGGAGCTGAAGCGGGAGGGGCGGGGAGTGATTGTGACTGTATGTGCTCATGTGCACACATCTGCATGAAACCAGAAGTTGATGTTGAGGTCATCCACAATCAGTTCCTCACTGGTTTCGTCCTCTTTTTTGGACAGAGGCTCTCATAGATCTGTAGTGCACCAGTTGGCTAGCTTGGCTGACCAATCAGCTCTTCTGTCCCTACCTTGCCATTTCCTGTCAGACCCTGATTATAAATGGGTGCTGGCAATCCACACACCTGCCTGTCACTGCCTGTCCCAAAGCTAGCATATAATGGCTATGAAGGCTTGTGTGTTAAAATGATACAATTCTGGAAATGGACCACGGCTACATAACTCTATAAGTGTACTTAATGCCACTGAAATGTACACTTCAAAATAGCTAAAACAGGAAATATCATATATTATATAATATAGATGATGAATATAGATTATATTTTACATCTATTATAAACATATATGTGTCATATACATGTTACATATATATGTATCATATAATGTAGATTATAAATAATATATTATACATTATATTTTAATATAATATAATTAATATATAACACAATAAGATATAATACATAACACATAATATAATATGTAATACATAGTAATATACCATAGTTTATTAATTTATTTATATGTAAAATATATTATTATTTATTATATATCACACTTCAAAATAGCTAAAATAGGAAATATCATATATATTATATATTGCAAATATATAATATAGATTAATGTCTATATTTATAATCTATATAGACATTTTACATATATTATATTTATAAGCATATTATATATGTAATATGTAGTATTTTGTACTATATATATATTAAATATACACTTTAAAATAGCTAATACAGGAAATAACATGTAATATATAATAAATATATTTTGTATACACTATATATTATAATTTATAAATTATAAATATATTATATAACATGTATATTTTATATAATTATATAATAAATATAAAATGCATATAAGATATAAAATATAAAATATATTATCTAATAAATAATAAATATAATATAAAATATGATGTATAATATATAATAAATACTATATATCATACAATATAATCAATATTACATAATATAATAAATAATAAATAATATACCATGTATACAGATATAATGTATATTATATAATTATAAATATGCAGTATAATTATATATAATACATGCATACATATGTATATGAAATTTACTATAAAAACAATATACAGAAAAGAATCTAGTGCAAGGTCACAGTAAATGGCACACACAGGAGAGAAAACAATGCTTTCTCTATCCATTGTTTTCATCTCCCTGGAGTAAATCAAACTCAGGTCATCAGAAATATTCAGAAGAATCCAGATGTGGGGTGTACATCTGTAGGAACAGCACCTGGGCTTGGAAGCAGGAAGACCAGGAGTTCAAGACAATCATCATCTCCATACTGAGCGGATGCCTGGGCTCGACATGGTTCCCCCCAAAGCAACAAAAGACCCCAACTAAACAAAACCTCTCAGAACAATTGTATCTGCACTGAAAACCGCACAGACGTCTCCTGGCCTCGTTTCTTACTGAGAGAGCACTGCACTTTGTCTAGTTCTGGTGTTGTATCTCATGCTGGAATCTGAACACGACACACAGTATGAGTGATGACCTGTAGACTAATCCTGAAACACGGCCATTTTTGCAACGACCACCCATGGATTCTGGTATCAGTGGGTCTCCTGGAGCCATTTGCCCATGGATCCCAGGACCACACGCCAGACTCAGACCTTGACTCCTAGCCCGCTTCTAATTGGGTTTACTGTTTGGGTTTTATTTGTGTCTATGTAATTTAGAGACAGGTTCTTAGTCTGTAACTCAGGTTGGTCTTTCCATCCTCCTGCCTCAGCCTTCCAAGTGTGGGATAATAGTGGATGATACCATGCCTCACTCCACGGGTGTCTCTTAACTGACATTCTCTTCCCGGGGTCTGTTGTCTATTTTGCACAATGTCAGTAAAGAATCCCCCGGTATGGGGACTTGGAGACAGTGCAGTACGATGGCTCCATGAACAAAACCGACTGAGTTGGGTCCCTATAACCTAGGGAGAAGTGAAGGCGAGATCCTAAGCATGTCTTCTGACCTCCACACGTGTATCATGGTTCCTATGTGCCACTCAATAATAATAAGCTTTTAAGAACTTCCCTGATGGGGCCCACCCTCTCAGAGGCAAAGGGGAGGGGGGCTGAGGGGAGGGACTCTGCGAGGGGGAACTGGAATGAATGGGGGCAATGTTTGAGATGTAAATAAATAACACCCCCAAAAGCCAAAACAAAAACCAACCAACCAACTAAACAAACAAACAAACAAACAAACAAACAAAAAACCTCAAAGAAATCCCCTGGTAAGATGCGGGAGAGAAGGAACCCAGGTCACTCACAGAGCACAGCCAGCTTGACTGGATCACTCAGCCTGGTGTTGAGGGGGTTGGAGACCTCACACTGGTATGCCCCGGCGTCCTCCTTTGTGACTGGGTTTATGGTGAGCCTTCTGTTGTTCCAGGAGAATGTCACCCTGTCTGTGGCCTCCAGCTTCTGATTGTTGAATGTCCACCAGACGGAAACTCCAGTATTTTCTGATATGCAGGTTAGGTCCACAAAATGATGTTCTAAGACTGTTTCGTTTTTGACTTGGATATGGGGCTTTGGCAATTTCTCTGTGAATGTACAGAAGAGAGGACCAGCTAAAAGGAGTCTTTCTTTACAGAAAGGTTTCAGCCACTCTTGGGGTCCAGACTATGGAGTGTAAGATGGCCCTGAAGTTGTCTCCAGCACTGTAGAGATCCCCCCATCTTGATTCAGGAGACACTCTATAGGAAGAGTGAGGGACCTGTTTAAACCTCCTCTCTACTGTGTCTCCTGACTTGACCCTGGGACATGTCTTTAGCTTTCATATCAAGAGTCGTTTCTAGATTACAATGTCTGACATCTTCACCATCAGGGAACTCTAGATTTCCATACAAAATACAAAGTTTCATTATGACATTTTCAAGAAACACATGCCATTATACTTTATTCACATTCATTCTATAATTACTTCTCTATCTATATAGATATTACCTAGGTATAAATATTATATATATAGATATTATATCTATCTGTATACATATATACAGATACTATATTTTTGTTTTCATTTTTTGTATTCATACATACATATATGCATATATATATACATACATACATATATACATACATAATTCATACTGTGGTGGTTTGACTATGCTTGGCCGAGGGAGTGGCACTATTAGGAGGTGTGGCCTTGTTAAAGTAGGTGTGTCATTGTGGCAAACACTTTATTGGCTGAGGCATCTCCTCATCTACTGTGCTCTTCCATATTTCCTTTCCCTCCCAGGCAAGGATCCCACCTGAGACCATCTTGTTCTCTCCTGTGCACCAAGTGTCTACAACCTCCCACGACACATCATCAGAGCAGGGACCCGGCTTAGTGACATCTACTCCAAAGCTCACTCAGAATCAGACCTCTGACTCCATGAAGGTTCTGGCATTGATTGGCTTCAGGGTTTATCCAGATTCTAGATAGGCATTGCAGGGTCATTCTCCACCCATCCTGTCTGAATGTAGGTGGAATCAGAATAGAACCAGTCGGCAGGGCAGGAGCAGAACTGGGGAGAGCTGTGAACTGCTGTGCACCCTTTGTTGGGGGTGAAGTGTTTCTATCCCCACAGGTGGCCAAAAAAAAAGCGTGACTGCGTTCCAGTATCCTGGCGTTCTTTGTAGGTTACGGAGTGTGTAAAAGATGAAAGACAACGCACAGGATGAAGGGGCAGCAGGATCCCCTCCCTCCTCCTCCCTGGGATGTACCAACTGTGCCGGAGGCTTGTAGCATATAGAGTACCCCTCTTTGAAATCCATGTTGAACCCCAAGTCAGCAGAGAGAAGTCAGTGTATTCAGGGGAAGAGAGTGTCTCCTGGGTCAAGGTACCCTAGAGGAGGACCGGGCTTTGCTTGCAACTGTGGACAGAGGCTGTGGACTTTCTTCCTCTCTGTTCTTTACAGATAAACGAGACCCCACCCCCAGAGATTGGCCTTGATGTTACAAGAAGACACTTACCAACTATTATAACTTCTTTGACTTTGGAATTATTGCGGCCAGTTGCTGGGTTAGTGACGAGGCAGGTGTACAGTCCGTTATTACTTCGGCCAACCTGGTGGATAGAGACCTCTTGTCTAGAGTTCCAGGGTTCTCCATTGATATTCCAGGAATAGTGTGCTTTGGGGTGAGACACTGTTTGGCAGAAGAGCCACATACTCCTACCTTCCTCAAAGTATTTGTCTGGGGGAAATATTTCGGGGGTATCTGGACCATCTGAAGGAAAGAGAAAGAATGCCGTAAAGAGACGCAGAGAGATCCTGTTCTGTAGAAGGTCAGGGTATCCCTGAGTAGGGTGACAACTTTGCCTTACAATTGTGCCAGATAGGGCTGGCCCTTGGATAGGTCACAAAGCAGTTTCCTCTGAGGGCTTTAGGTCCTTCTCTAACATTCATACAAACACACACAGAGGATCACACCCACCCCCTGTCAATCAAAACCCTTAAACATGTGGCATGCATGCCTTGCTTTCTGTCCCTGGTATCGATCCCCAGCACCTCCAGAATAGAACAACTCCTCCACTGTCTGTCTAAAGTCTTGGTCTGCCAGGATGTTCCTGGAGCAGATGGTGTGGCCAGTCTGGTTCAGGGGCAAGAGTCAGTGTCATGGATGCAAGTGGATGTGTATTGGGCTGCAGGGAAGATAGAGGAACAAAAGTTACTCACAGAAAACATCCAGAGTGAATGGGTCACTTTGGAAGGCACTCAGTGGGTTCTTAGCTTCACACTCATAGCGTCCTCTGAAATGCCTAGAGACCTTGAGCAGAGTGAGAGTTGTGTTACCCCGAGACAGGATGGCATGGTTACCAACGTGAAGCTTCTTACCGTTTAGATGCCAAAGGTAGATTGTTTTCCGGAAGGGAGGTTCACAAGTTAACTCAACAGTGTCCTGACCCTCCATGGCAGTGGTCCTGTTACTTCTTATGGAGGGTTTGCTTAACAGAGCTGTGTGGATAACAGAGAAGAATGACCTGTGTGGTACTGGATACCTGGAAAGTCCTCTCCCTGAGAGGGTGTGCATCTCTCACCCACCCACCAAGGAGGAGAGAGCCACAGATGCACAAGGCTCTGGGCACTCAGGCCCCCACCCACGGGCACCAGATGTGGGAGACGCTCTCACTTTCTTACATTGGGAGCTGGGCTGCAGAGTTGAGATGTGAACTGACCCGGGAATGGCAACAGCAGTCCTGCCTGGCTCTGCTGCCCTTGTTACCTGACCTTAGTGATAAGTTATTTCTCTGCAGGTGAAATGAGCCAGTTCAAGCCAATTCAATTCAACTCAAGTCAGATTAGATTATATTAAATGCAGGTTTATTGGCAAGCTGCTCTCGGACGAGTTCACTGGCCCCAAGGACCGAGGCCAGGGAAGTCACCATGGGGAGACAGAAATGGGAGAAGGGGAAGAGAAAGAGGGAAAGGGCGCACTTGCAGGTGCAGATAGAGAAGAGACCAAAATGTCTGGATTACATGAGGAAGAGCCTCTGGGGGAAAGGCAGCCCAGCCTCCTGGGCTGGAAAGATCAGGGTTAGGGACAGGGTATGCCATGTAGGGATTGAGAGATGCCGGGAGAACCTGGAGGCCAGGTTGCTTTGGTATAAAAATATGCACCTTAGCCCTTTGTCAGGGCTCAAAGCAAACAGTTAGGTCATGGTGTGCTTGGGTCCTGCCTGCTCTGTTACTCTCCACTGCTCGGTCTGAGCTTTTGCTGAGTCTTGGCTTTCCAAGACTGTCATGTTGGTAAGTCACTATGGGATATCTCATTGCCCACAGTCTATCCTAAGCACCAGCACCAGAGCAGTGATCAGAGGCCACACACAGAAGACTTGAAGCAAGACTGGTACTGACTCACAAGTCATCCAGGATCCCAGTGTCAGAGTGAGGGGGCGGGGGCAGACAGGCCTCAGATAGAGAACCTGATTCTTGTGTCTAAGAGGAATGTCTCTCTTGAGTACAGGCAGTCTTACACTGAAATCTGGAGTCCTTCAGGACTGCATATGGTTCTCCTGTAGAGATCTGTGAGTCCTGCCACAGGGATGGAACTGCTCACAGGAAGTGTGCCTTGTCTGTGACAATAAATGTGGACAAATGGCATGCCATATTAGTAAGTTTCAAAGAGTAGATGTCCCTGCTCTGGAGAATCTAGCAAAGTGGTTTGGAGCCAATAAACGCATGCCAAATGCTTTATCCCTTCCCTTTGATCCCAGAAACCAAAAATGGAGCTGAATCAAATTCTTCCAGATAGGGCAGATTGACAGCTAACTCCTAGACTTGGGCTGACAACAGCTTCAGAATGTCACCGAATAAGAGGACTCAGAGACATCCTGAGAACACAGTTGTGTGTGGAGGTGGGTTAGTCCATGCCAGCCCTGGCTGGTACAGCTCCCTCTCGAAGGTTTTGAGAAGCAGTGACATATTGAGGAGCCAGGAGCTCTCTGGCCTGCAGCCTCCCTGGGAATCAGTATATGGTGATTCGGTACAGATGGAAGTAATTCCTCCGTCCAGTCTGGTGGCTTTCATCTCACACACCAGTCACAGAAGAGACCTGGGTCAGACACAGGCAGCTAGACCTTTGTCTAATGGTGGAACCTGGTGGAAGTTTCAGTTTCTTCTGCTTTCTGTGTTCCGCAGGCACCGTTTAGCTACAGGTGTAGACAGGAAGGGAACTGGACAGTCGGCCATGAATGTGGGAAGGGAAGAGAGAAGCAAGCTGTTCAGGGAACGCACAGTTCCACTCATGATAAGAGAGGAAAGAGGTGGGCAACGAACCGAGAAGATCAGGGGTCTTAGAGGGGCTGCTCAGGCCCCATAGACCATAAACTGCATAGCTGCCTCAGAAGTAAGCCAGAAACTTTCAACTAAGAGTTGACTTGTGAAATGGCTCTAAGAGCGCATACGTGGTTACAGGAACGGGGCAGGATCGGCCTCCAGTAAGGACTGAGAGTGGGTTTGTCCGGAGATCTAGACTCTATACATGTTGTAGTATTTATATAGCTTGCAGGTTCATTCACTCATTTGTGGCCCACCCCTCAGTAAGTGGTCTGAGCTGGTCTAGAGCTTTTGGCAGTCTTCCCTCTCCAGCCTTCCAAGTGCTGGGATTGAAGGCTAATGCCATCTCGCCTGGGTTCCCGCCATTCTTTATCACCAACCCATTAGGAGTTGTCTACTTATTCTACTCATTTGCGAGTCTGTCCTGGTCCAGTGTCCAGTGAAGCGGGAGAGAGCACTGTTGTTTTCTTTAGCCTCTAAAGGGAGTGCTCTTCTTCCCCCCCCACACACACCTCATAAATCAGAGAGATACATGATTTGAAGTCTAGTAAGCCAGCATGTGCCTGGAGGACATGCTTAGACATTGTCTTGGTTCATGTGAGTCTCTCGCAGAGTGAGGATTATGCACATGCTCTAAGGCTCAAACTCAGCCTCGCTCTCAAGCTTCCTGTCCATTGGGAAAGTTCCCGAGCCACCAGCTCCACAGGCGCCTCAGAAGCAATCCAGTCATAGAGAAGAGGACTGTGGCTGTAGGCAGACATCCCATCCTCTGACCAGCACTCAGACCCATGTGGCCCAGATTCAGCAACTGCATTTCCTCCTGCCGTGGCTTCCTCTCAGCAGGGAAACTGCTGTGGAGATTCTCGTCTCAGCTATAGACTAGCCGCACAGCGCTCACAACCGCCTGAGCAGTTAGTCAGTTCTGGACTGAGTCCTCCAGGCTCCTCCTCAGAGTCATGGTCCCTGGGACAGAGCATGTGTGGGGCGGAGCTTCTGCTTCACACCAGCCTGCCTTCTGCAGTGTGGATGCAGGGAAGGAGGCCACCCTTGTGAAATATGTTTCCATCCTATGTGTCCAACAGTAAGTGTTCAAAACCTGGTAAGGGACCATGAGGCAGAGAGAGGATGTAGGTTGGCACTGTCCAGACAGCCTGTATGTGTGAGTGTGTGTTTGTATGTGTATGTGTGAGAGAGACTGTGTGTGTGAGTGGATGTGTGAATGTGTATGGGTGTGTGTGTTTGAGAGTGTATGTGTCGACGTGTACATGAGTGTGTGTGTATGTGTGAGTATAAATATGTTTGTGCGTGTGTATTGCTGTGTTGTCAGTGTGTGTGTGTCTGTGAATGTGTGTATGTGTGTGCATGTGTCTGTGTAGATGTGTGAGTCGTTGCGTATGAACATGTGTGTGTGCATGAGTGTGTATGAGAGTGTAATATGTGTGTGAGTTACTTGTGTTGAGCGTATGTCTATGTAAGTGTGTATGTGTGTGTGATTGTGTGTGTGTGATTGTGTGTGTGTGCGCCCAAAATGCAACGAACCCCACTTAGCTATCAGAGACCAGGGAGAATCACTTACGGTACACAAAGACTTCTGCAAACACTGAACTTTGGCCATCTGCAGAATGGATATTTAGGTGGTAGATTCCAGATTGCTTCAAGGTGACATTCTGTAACATCAAGGATCCGTTAGGGTATAGGGTCTCTCTCCCGCTGTAGAGCTTTCCTTGTTCAGTTTCTTGAGATTTTATTTCATACATTATAATTAGATCTTTGTCTATTGACCGCTTTCCTTTGAACCAGTGATAGGCTAATAGGTTGTCTGGCAGATTGTGAGCGAGTAGAAGGACGGTCTCCCCTTCAAGGGCAGCAGGTGGCACCAACTCAACAGTGGGATCTGCAGCAGTAGGGGTGTTCCAGATGGCTAGCAGTGAGGCTGAGAGGAGGAGAGAAAAAGACATTAATACGTGGACCTTTATGAATGGAAAGATGGAGTCCTGTGTCATGGATAAGTATCTCTGTTCAACAGGCGCACGCGTGTGAGTGTGTGGGAGTGTGTATATGTGTGTGAGTGTGCCTATGTGTATATGTGTGTGTGTCAGTGTGTGAATATGTGAGTGTGAGTGAGTGTATGTATGAGTGTGAGTGTATGTGTGCGTATGTGTGTCAGTGTGTGAATATGTGAGTGTGAGTGAGTGTGTGTGAGTATGAGTGTATGTATGTGTGTTTATATATGTGAATATGGGCATATGTGAGTGTGTGTGAGTGTGTGCGTGAGTAAATGTGTGCGTGTGTGAATGTATGCAAGTGTGTGAGTGTATGTGTGTGTTTATGTGTGTGAGTGTGTGAATCTTCCTCAGCCAGAGTTACTGTTGAGGTCAGCAGCATGACCTCTTTCCCATCAGCTTCCTGAACTTCCTGCACTTCTCACATGTTTTGTACAGTAGAACTGTTTTCCCAGGTGCCCTCAGAACCCACTGCTCCCTGTCCTCAGATGTACACTCACGTTCAGGGCATCCTGGGGAAATGTATGCCTTAATCACCCTTTCTAGTGACCCTGATTGTGGGCAGTGGGTGAAGTCTCTGTGTTAATGTGCATTGTTGGCACAAGCACAGACAGCCATGGCAAGGACCCCAGAGTCCCAGACCCAAGGGAATGACAACACCTTCCTGGGGTCAGTCTCAGTATGGCAAAATCCCTTTCTGGTCTATGTATGGATGTTACGAATGATTGCTTTTTAGCTAAAGCCAGTGTACGTAGAAACTATCAACCACGGCTTCCTCCTTCTGGATGTGATTGTGTGTGTGTGTGTGTGTGTGTGTGTGTGTGTATTCCTCAGACTCTTCCTTCCACTGAGATTAACCAACCTACCTGCCTCCTTGTTTCACTGAATACAGCAAACCTGTCTCTTCAACTCAGATGTACAAAATAAGCATGTCGAGTTTCCCAGCTCCCACTGGTACATCTCTGTCAGGGCTCACAGCCCACCTGATCCCAGTTTCTCTGTACATGTGTCTGTGTGTCTGTCCTTTCTTCAGGCCCTGGTCATGCCAGTCAGGTTTTTGAGGACCCAACCTTGGGTCTCCACTCTCTGACCCTTCCCCGTGTGGCTCTGTCCACGGCTTTTGTCAAACACACAAACACCATCTCGATACCTTTGGCGGTCTGCCTTTCTGCCTAGTATCATGTCTCTGTGAGGACAGGGTTTTGTTTGATCCAGCTTTTGCCCCAGTGTTGATAATAGGTTCAGATACCTGTGTAGGAATGAGATGTCCCATGATCCTGTATGCTGAGGGTTCAGTTCTGTAGTATTTACTGGTCCAGGTTTGTTTTTGTTTTTGTCTGTTTTTTGTTTTGTTTTGAGTCCCTGCAAACATCAGGCCAGCAGGGAAATGACTCAGGGGAGATAAGAATGAAACTCAGTTCAGTATGACTTAGTTAGCTGGTGCTAGGACAAACTTCTGGAGTCTAACACTGGCTAATTTTAGCCATATTTAAGCACAGCACAATTCTGGAAAAAAAAAAGGTTTCCTGATGACAACGACTCATTTCCAAGTGTACAACGAAGTTTACGATGTTTTTACAATGGAACTCTTTACAGAGTCCATATGGCTTCTTCCATAAAGATGGGTTCTGTTGACTTACAGACAGTGCTCAAGATAAAGGTCTCTAGAGAATGGCTGAGGTAAACAGGAGTGACCTGTCCCTAGGATAACCCAGAGGTCACAGAGGCTGTTCTAAAATACAAGTGACACCACTCATAAGGATGGGTTTTATGAACTAAGAAGCAATGCTCAAGATCTAGGGGCGGGGGGAAGAAGTCTAGGATAAACAAATACAATATTCTGAGGGGCTCGGGTGAAGCCTGGCCCGAGCAAAGGATAGGAAAGGATCATCAGGTTGCAACTACATCTTTCCCCATGATTCCCTGAGGTAAACATCTTCCTTTGAAGAGGTTAGCCTGGGTGTTTAACTTTGCTGGCTTCTCTGGTGCTTACCTGTGTAACAAGGACTTTCATGCTGTACAACCCTGACACCTTGTGAAACTCAGTCTTGAGGAGTGCATTGGCCAGGGCTCTCTAGAGTGACTGAACTTATGGAATGGCTATCTATTAAGGGAATTTATTGGAAGACTTACAGTCTGTGGTCCAATTAACCCAGCAATGGGCAGCTGTGAATAGGAAGTCCAAAAATCAAAATAAAAAATCAAATAGTTGCTCGGTCCCAAGAGGCCAGTGGTTTCAGTCTGGTCCCTGTTATTTGTCCCTTCCCCTCAGTGGCCAACAGAAGCCTTTTGTCCCTTCCTAGAATCCTGCATTCTCCACAAGACTTCAGCCCCCCATGTAGGGAGCAGAGGAAGCCCCAGCAACTGGAGTGAATGTGTGCTGTTGACATGTGTGGCTGGCTTCTTAAAGGACTCCATAGCTTCAGGCTCAGAAGGATGGCAAGTCCTTCCTCACGGGGCACTAGGTGGGAGTATCAACATTGAATGCAGAAGGTGTCTACCATAGCTGCCTCCCTGACCTATGGATATTTGTGCCCTGAAGATTTCTCCCCTACCGAGACTGCTTCTACGACATTACCTGTTGCTTCGATCCAACTGTTTTCCACAGACCCTGCCTCCCTATTCAGCTGTATGCCGTAACTCTCTTTCCCTATCCAACTCTATAAAATAAACACGCTGTGCTCCTGGGTACTGCCATTTCTCCATCAGAGGTCCCAGTCCACCTGATCCCAGCTTTCCTGTGTGCATGTGTCTGTCTTTTCTTCATTCCTTTGCCATCCTGCTCTGGTACATCCCTGGAGCTGTGCCAGATACACTTCCTGGTTGTGGCACACCCAATCTATTCACTGTCTTTCTGCTTATTCCCAAGGTTGTCCCCCTCACCTGTAAGCAGGAGCCCCTGCCAGGGGACACGCGTTGGGAGAAGGGCTGAGGGGGGCTCCATGATCTGTTGTCGGCTTTGTCCTCTCTCTCGGTGAGGAAGAGCTTGGGCTCCAGCACTGCTCCCAAACCCTGAGGGCCCAGCCGTGTCAGTTCTGTTGTCCGTTGTCTCTCTGAGCTGAGTTCATCCTGGGGCTGGACCTCTCAGGGTCACATGGGCTAGGGACAGGGCCTGTTGTTAGGACTCCCTGTTCCCTACCCTTCCAGTGTTGTTGCTCTCCCTTCTCTGTGCTTGTTTTCAGTTCCCCATCCCCCACAGACTGAAGTGGGCCCCAGTCAACCCATCTACCCTAGCGCTGACCTCTTGTTGTGTCCTCAGCCTGGGGGCTGTTTTCATCACAGAGGGAGGCCTTGGAGTCCCAAACTAAGGGTGTGTTTTTCCTTTTGTGACACAGAAACACAACCAACTGTTCACCTGCCCTTCTCAGTGACTTCTGGGCTCTGGGACAGTAGGACTTTACTCTCAGCAGGAAGGTGACTGGTTTAGGAGAGAAGTTCTTTATCTGTCATCAGGTTGACCTGGACACAAATTTAGAAACAGAAAGAGATCCAGGTCCTGAATATACAAGAGGAGGTGACCTGGATATTCTGGACTACACTCTGCTCAGTAGAAGGTCCAGAGAGACTGTCTCTGTGTATCAGCACAATGTCTTGGGTTTGTTCATCTTCTCTCTCATCTTTATGGGCAACCTCTGTCCTACGCTCAGGTGACTTTCCGTAATCTCTCCCTATGGGTGACGCTCGAAGGTAACAGAGCACACAGGTTCCCCTTATTGGACAGAGGAAGAAAAGGAAGGGCAGAGCAGGCACTTGCGAAGAACTCACCGTGGTTGGTTAGGTCAAAGTATGTGAAGCAGGCTGCATATCCATCTCTTAATCCAAAGCCAAGCTCACGTCTCTGGGATTTCATTGGCTGACTGTTACTTTCTGTCTTAATATCACCCTCTTGGTGACACGAGAAGACCTGTAGAGAGACTCTCTTGTGCACTGTGTGGAAGCATCACCTGTCAATAAAAATCTCATGGCCTGTTAGCCGAGACAGGAAATTCGAGGCGGAAGTTCTGGTACAGAGAGAGGAACTCTGGGATTGAGTCAGGTGTGAAGAGATTCACCCCCAACTCTGAGGAGACAGACAGATGAAACGGAGGAGAGGTCCCCAGCCACGTAGTGCTCATAGAATAGAACCAACAGGTTAAGTCCAGAGCTAGTCAGGGAACAAGCCCAAGCTTAGGGCTAGGCATTTACTCATAAATAATCAAGTCTCAGAGTTGGGAACTGGGAAGTGGGTGGAAACACCCACGGTTACAAAGACCTGCTTCTGGCACTATGGGCTGCAGCAGAAACGCTGACCAGGCTGACCCCGATGCAGGTGGGCTCTGACCTTCAGGCTTCATGGTTGAGCATCCAGACCCTGCTCACTGTGGTGTCCCTTCACTCCTGGGCCCCAGCCCAGGCAAGGTAAGTGTAGGGAGACAATGAAAGGTGTCTTGAGACTGCTGGTCCAGAGCTGGAGAACTAGGAGGATGAATAGTATCAGAGGAGCTTTGCACCCCTGAGGGATCAGAGAAAAATCTGGGTGTGTATCTTTTTAGGGTTGAGACAGAGGGATAGAGTCTTTTATGTATAAAAATCATATTATCTACAAATGTAGACACCTCCTTTCCTGGTTGTATTCCTTTGATCTCCTTCAGTTGTCTTATTGATCAAGCTAAGAATTCAAGCACTATGTTGAACAGGCATGGAGAGAGTGGACGTTCTTGTCTTGCTCCTGACACAGAGAAGTGGCGTTGGTGCCTAACTGGAAGTCTCACCCCTACTGACCAGTGTTCACGGTACTAGAAGGTACCCTACATGCTACCGGAAGAAGTTAATCATCAGTGTCACCCGGCTACAAGCTCTGTGACTACAACAGCAACCTACTTGCAAGATTCACTGGCACAACCGTGGCACAGATGTTACGGGGGTGACCAACCACCTTTTTATTGCATTTGTGGTTCGCCGCTGTAGTAGTGGCCAATTAAGTACTCAAATCCAGTCCCAATGCTTTGGGTTTTCGAATGAAACACACACACACACACACACACACACACACACACACACACGGCCTTTAAATTTGATATGTCTAAAACAGCTCAATGGTTGGGCCACTTCCTAACCTCTATGTGGCCAATCCACTTTTCTCCAATATTCCTAAGTCATTATTTACTAAAATCTATATTCTATCTTTGCTGCCCCAGACCCAGTCAGGCAGCTCTCTTGGGGCCGTTCTTTCTTGGCTCCTACATGGTGTCTGTATTCTCTGTCCCACACCTTCTCAGGCATGGCATCTTTCTTCTCCTCCTCCTGGCATGGCAGACCTCCTTCTTCCTCCCTCTTTCTCTCTGTCCCTCATCTGGGGAATCCTAAAACTCTTGCCTCTGTCTCCCTGACCAGACATTGGCCGCTGATAACTTTATTTACCAATCCAAACCAACTGGGGGCAGGGTTCCCTCGGTGTCTTATGTGTGGACCTGTGGATCCTCATGTAATTTTGGGAACCCAAATTAAAATAATACAAACGGCATTAAACCAAACCCACTACACACTGTAGGCATAAATTTTCTCAACCTACTTTAATAAGTGTTCAACGCCCCTCTAGCCCACCACCCACCAGAGGTAGTGGAAAAGAAAAGGTATTAGGCCACATGGGAAGTAGACCTGTTTAGAAATAGTTCTTTGGGGGCAAGTCCAGTCTTCCTTGTCAGGATATCAGCAGTTCAGTCCAGCAGCAAACACCAAATATGAACCAGCAGCTGGAGTACAGTCCTCTCGGCAGTCACCACACACGAACCAGGAGCTGTAATTCAATCCATAAGAAATCACAAAGCTCCATAACCAGCCTGAGGCTACCGAAGCAGCAAGAAGCTGCAGGAACCTCACGAGAAGTTCTTCGGCGAGTTTCTCTCTATGGCATCACCACAAGTGGAGCTCAGCAACGCAATGCAAGGCGAACCAATACATGCGTGTCATTAGCAAAGAAGAGCGAGGCAGGGTGAACCAAACCAAGGCTCGAGCTCCCACTGTCTGTGGGGTCATATTTATATTCCTTCTGTACATCATGCATCCTTTCATGTTTGCTATAAAAAAACATCCTCTCACCTGTGAGACCCAGCAAAACACCATTTGACATAACCGACTTTCCAAAAAAAACAGAAGTTTCTACTTCAGTTAGCTCTGTTAAATGGAACCTATACCTGGCCTTGTTACCTTGTCCAAGAGCATGAGGCTAGTTAGGTCGTGGGCCTAGGGGAAAACCCAATACTATTATTCTGCTGAAGGAACATAGCAATAAAGCCACGCCTAATGACATACTGCTGTGCTTACAGATTGGTGTCTCACTCAACCACATCGGAGAAGCTTCTTGGGAGCTAACACGGAGACCCACAAGTGGAAAATGTGCAAAGAGTGAGAGACTTTCGAATACTGAGTCCTAAACGGGATATCTTCATCAACCTCCTCCCCTCAGGGCCCAGGGATCCGTGAGGAAGAGGAGGTTGCTAGAGCCAGGGGTGATGGATTACTCAGAGAAAGTAGTGCCTTCCAGATTCAGAAGAACCAATGTACATTAGACCTCCCAGTGACTGCGCTGGCCTGCACAGGGCCTGCACAGGTCCAAGTTGGCCAGAGTCACAGAACTAAGAGGGGGAAGTGGACATGGGGTTTCAGCTCTAACCAAGAAGCTATTTGCAACTGATACCCGATGGCAGGGAAAATCAGTTCTCTCCCGTGAAATGTCACAGGGTGTACCAACCACACTCTGGGGCAGTCCCTGTGCCCAGGCTAACACAAAATTAAATCCGTTGCACGGGGTTGGTTTGGTTTGAACTCCCCCTACCCCAGACAGGGTTTTTCTGTGTAGCCTTGGTTGTCCTGGAACTCTCTCTGTCAACCAGGCTGGCCTCGAACTCACAGAGATCTGCCTGCCTCTGCTTCTTAAATGTGAGATTAAAGGCATGTGCTACCTCTACCTGGCTTTGCTTGGGTTTTTTTGTTTGTTTGTTTTTGTTTTAACATTTGTTTTGTGGATTTTTAATTATATTTTTTGTTTTGGTTTTGTTTGTGAGAGATATTGTAGAAATGTTTAATCCTGACCTAGGGTGTCTACCCTGCCTTAGACCATTTAGTTCCCAGATAAAAGACACACGCAACCTTTATACTTACAATGAGCCTTAATCAGGACTAGTTGTGGGCAGATAACTATCCTCTAATCTATTAGAATCTATTTGCCTGTCGATAACCTTATTATTTACTACTTACTATGTTTCATTAGGCTGCTCTTGACCAGCCCTCAGAGCCATGTTCTTAGGGCTCACCTAGGCCATGGTGGCTTCTCTTTCTCCTGCACCTTCTCTTCGTGGATCTCTTCAGACTCCAAGCCCTGAAAACCTACACCCCACCTATGTCTCTTCTGCCCAGCTATTGGTTGTTGCCATCTTTCTCTACCAATCAGAAATAACTTGGGGGCGGGGTCACATAGTCATTTGGGTATACCTGTAGACTCCAGGTCTTGGAGGCCTGCACTTAGGGTTATAATAGACAGCAAGACCAAATCTCAACAGTGAGAAGTGAGAGGAGCGAACAGAAAGTTGGGTGGGTATGGAGATGAGAGGGATCTAGGATAAGTTAGGGGAGGGAGAAATAAATTGTATAAAAGTTATATATATATATATATATATGGAGAGAGAGGGTTATACACAGCTTGGGTTTGTGCACTTAGTCAGCTGATAAGGTTTTCATGAGGGACCAGAAGGTGATCTGGGCAGGTGGGTGTGTTTATATGCCTTCCCTGAAGTCTATAACAGAAGTTATATAACATAGGTAACATGAAACGTATTTAAACCAACTCAAATATAGACGTCAGTGGTATTAACTACATTAGGATGTTGTTCTCTGTCATGACTTTTTCTAGAATTTGTCATCATAACAGGCTTTCTGTTGCCAGAAAATAAGGACACCTTATGGCTGCCCTACTTCAGCCCCTGCAAACCTGGAATTTGTTTTCCATTTATGGCTTTGATATTTTATTTTATTTATTTGATATTTTATTTTATATTTATTTTACTTTTTCTTAATATTTTATTTATTTCATTCAGATGTTTTTGGATATATTTAAGTTGCAAGCTGCTTCTGAACTTTGCCTTTTTAAGGATTTATTTATTAATTTTATGTATATGAGTACACTGTCGCTGTCTTCAGACGCACCAGAAGAGGGGATCAGATTCCATTACAGATGGTTGTGAGCCACTGTGTGATTGCTGGGAATTAAACTGAGGACCTCTGGAAGGGCAGTCAGTACTCTTAACCACTGAGCCATTTCTTTAACCCGAACTTTGTCTTTTTTTTTTTTTTTAATATTCTTCTCTCATATATCCCCACCTCAGTTTCCCCTCCCTACCTGTCCTCTCTTCCAGATCCACTCCTCTTCCATTTCCCTTCAGCAAAGCGCAGGCCTCCCAAGGATATCAACCAAACACAGCATAACAAGTTACCATAAAACTGGGCACAGACTTTAATATCAGGGCTGGGCAAGGCAACCCAGTAAGAGGAAGAGTCCCAAGAGCAGGCAATAGAGTCAGAGATAACTCCACGTCCACTGTGAGGAGTCCCATAGGAATACCAAGCTACAGACCCATAAGGGATATGAAGAGGACCTAGGTCAGACCCTTGTAGGCTCCCTGATTGTCAATTCAGTCTCTGTGAGCTCCTGTGAGCCCTGGTTAGTTGATACTGTGGGGCATGTTTCTCACAGTCTCCTCAACCCCTGTCTCCTACAATCCTCTCTCCCCGACTTCTTCAAGATTTTCCATCTATCTATCTATCTATCTATCTATCTATCTATCATCTATCTGTCTGTCTGTCTATCTATCTATC